AACAGGCATTGTGCAAATTGTACTGCTATTGATAATACTATCTTTAACAGACCGATAACATATGAAGGCTCTGAAGAGGCTAAATAATGCAAAGAGTCAAAATAAAACCTCTAATGTTTAGAGTCTAAACATTGCCAAAAAAATTCAAGTATAAAACTTAACATTCAAAGTAAAAACAGGTTCCATTACAATAAACAATCCAGAGTTACTGAATGAAAACTTCCTGATAGCATAGAGGCTAGCTGATTACTGCTAGTTCTGAGTGGCTGTTTCTGACTGAGCGGAGTAATTATGCAGAACAGGGAGGAGATCGATTATTTTTTTAGAGATTATCTGTCTCATGTTAGGACAGCGAAAGTTTTAATACGTATGTAAACTATATTTTTTTAGGTTAGATGCTGCAGCTTTAAACAGGTTTGGTGTGAGAGTCACTACCAGGTGGAGCAGAAGCGAAGCTCCGTCTGTCAAATATTACTACCTGTAGCGTAGCAGCGGTTCAACAGGAGAACAGAACCAGCGTCTTACATCGCAGCTCGAAGACTTAAATCATTTTGCGGGTTATTTGTTTAGCTTTCTGACCGTCATGCTAATCCGGGTGAGCGTAGCTGTGCGCTGCTTTACCTGCTATCTGATCCTCCGTATGTCTTTTTTACTGCAGTGAGCCTCGATGTAGCCAAACTCCGTCAAGTATGGCACTGTTTTTATGCCATATTAGATTCGTTGTGTTGATGCATTTTGACGTGCTTCAATTTTCCGCCGCAACACGCAAACTTCCCCATTCACTCAGTGCGTTATAGTTCCACATCGCTTAGGATTTGTTGCTGCACGTTTGCGCAGTGTGAAGGAAAGAGGAGACCAGCTGCACAGGCAGGCTGGAAATGAGAAGTAGGTGATCGGTATCGGTAAAAGAGACAATGATCGACGATCACCGATCATGCACTTTTTCACGAAAATCGGCCCGATTATGATCGGTGACCGATCGATCGGCACACCTCTACTGTGGAGTGCAAAAGGATTAATGCTAACCTTTTCTTTTTCACATTAGAACCACAAACCTGAATGTATTATGCTGAGATTTGAACAAGGAAGCAGCAAACATGGAAAAAGAAATCCTGACAGCAGATTAGTCCAAAACAGATGGAATTAGAAAAATGGGAAAAAATTGCTCTCTAATTATGAAGAAAAAAAGATTGTTCAATAAAACATTGCCTCAGGGGAGAGAGGACATATATGTGCTACAGTTGTCTGATTTAAAAATAAATAAAATTAAACAATGTATAACTTTCCTTCCTAATTATTTTTGTGCTATTTTGCATTACTCTGAAACCTGCAGCTCTTTAGATCCCAAAACACTAAAGAATTTAGCAACATTTTAAGTTTTTGTCTGTGTTAATAGTGTATTGCGACAGGAATGTTTTGTTCTTATAAGACCTTATTCTTTGTCAACAGGCTTCAAAGTACTTGCTTTTATTAACATAATTTTTTGATTGAATATGTACTAAACCTTAAAACTACATTAAAAGTTCTTCTTTAATTTAAAAATGTAAACAAATAACTATAGTAGGTTTTATAAAAACATTTTGGAGAGTCATCCTGCTCAAAATGTGTCCAGATAAACAAATTATTATTTGTTTAGCAGTTCAAAGTGCGTTTTTTATGAAAACATAAAAACATCATAAATACAGTCAGCAGTTGTGAACCCATTATGTTTTAATTTGTGCCAACATTAAACTTATCAATACACATAAATAATTTGGTCAATTTTCCATTCATTATGGCCCAAAAGTAACTCAGAGCAGGTGGGTTTTAATCTTGATTTAAAGGAACTCAGTGTTTCGGCTGTTTAGCAGTTTTCTGGGAGTTTGTTCCAGATTTGTGGTGCATAAAAGCTGAAAGCTGCTTCTTTTTAGGCAGACCGGTGAAGACACTGTGCCAGTTATCAATGCGACAACAGATAAACATATGAATGAGTTTCTCTAGATCTTTCTGGTACATTAATCTTGGAAATGTTCTTCAGGTGACAGAAGGCTGACTTTGCAACTATCTTTATGTGTTTGTGACATATTTCGTGCCTGATCAGTTATTACAAGTTATTACTTGTAATAAGTGAAGCTGTGTGCCGACTCTAGATCACTCCTCTTTAGATCCAAAGATAATAACTTCTGTTTTGTTTGTGTTCAGCTGGATAAAATTATGGCATTATATATCCAACATTTTCATCCTATACAAATGTTTTTGTTTCTCTTGTTTCTTTAATGTACTACTTTATGTGTGGGGTGTACAATTAAACATAAGGACAGACAGAACAGAGGTCGTGGGAAGAAATCCTAACCTCACAGCTGAACTCCATCTCAGCATCCATAGTGACGACTTTAACTTTGAAAGTCTTGGGTTGTTTCTTCTTCAGTCCCAGGATCGACATTTTGATAGTGTTTCCAGATTGGAGAACTGTGGAAACAATGAGATGCGTTCAAGGAAGCCTAAGTAAATCACACCTCAATAGAGTGTAATAATACATCTAAAACAATTCATATCAATAACACGCCTCGAAAACTAATATTTTCAGTCGATTTTACACAGAAGGAGAGCTGCTTTGAGTTGAAAATATAAGGCATTAAACGTATAGATGAGGCCTAATTACCAGGGAGCAGAGTTGAACTTGAGCCCGTCCAGCAAGGCTGAGGGGAGGATGGGCTTTTGTGTTTGTGTTGGGGCGACCAATGCTAAGCTAACTTTCCTCACTAAAACTGCTACTTTTTCTAACAGTTAAGACACATAAACCGTCCATAACAAGTTATAAAAACAGCGAAACTTTAGCGAAACCTCCATAATGGACATATATCTGATATTGTTCCTAAAGTTAGAAAAAAAAAACTTGCTAAAGCTGTCGGTGCTACGTGTTTAGCTTGTTAGCACACTGTTCAAAATCAGAAGGAGTTTCCAGAAGATTTTTGTTTTGACTCCCAGTCGCTCTACAGGTGGGAACATGAACAACAGTCAGGAACGCCACTGCGCCTGTGTCTGCTTCAATGCTATCGGAAATATCAGCTTTTCTCTGAAATATCAGTGAATGTAGGAGAAAACACCAAAGCAAAAACCTACTTTGGTAATGAGTTTTTCTATATAAATATAATTGAAGAAATGAAGACGTATTCTAAGAGTTTAAAATGGAAATTCTAGTGAAAACCTGTGGATATTTGGAATAGCAAGTTGCAATTCAACGCCTCAGATCCTGAGAGTTTTTACTGAGGGAAAAGTTAACCCATAGTCCATGCAACTCGCTTCCTGGTGCAGTTCACTGCAACCATTGAGTAAATAACAGAAACCAAACTACGAGGCTAGTTTTGGTAAATGTAGCTCTGTCTTTTCATACAAAATAGAAGCGAGCTTTATATATCACTACACAAGAAAGAAGACAGCATTATGGTTAAATGTGTTGTGTTTTACTGAGTCGGGAGATGTTGTTTTCGTGTATAAAATCTTGCACTGTATGACGAGAAATTCCCATTTCATGATGACCTTAACTCAAAATACAACTGTTTCATATTACTTATACGATAATTTTAAAGAAAAATATACATTATGGTGTAATTGTTTTTCTATGTTGCAAAAAGCAACAAACAGACCTTTTCCTATAACGTTGATGATTGCAGTTATAATGTTAATTTGAAAGAGAATAAAAAATACATTTAGTATGGTTAAGATTTTGTAGGAGCTTTTGTTTCATTATAATACAATAGAGTTTTACTGTTCTGCGATTTCTTGATTTTACCCTCTGTTACACATTTATTGATTAAAAAAGTATATTGTTACTGTTCTTATTCTGTAAATTTGTCACTTCTTATTTTTGTATTCTTTACCATTGTGTGAATGTGCAAGCTTCTACTTTTCTTTAACTTGCTGGTGGTATACTTGAGTTTCCCCGCTATGGGATAATAAATTATATCTCTATTCATTTATTGCCATTTATGTTATAATATATTATATTCAGTGGAGTTGTGCTGGGAGTATAGAAAGCTGAAAATGGCTGACAGCAGCTCTGCAGATGTGGTGGTAATTGTTTGCTACTGCATGTTTAAAACTGGTTTATGACACTTTTACTTGCACATCATCAGCAGCTGCTGATTGTAACAGTGTTGTTGTGATAGAACACATGTAGTTTCGAAACGTAATCATCCCTGTAAATCTCGAACATGTCTAAAAACAGTGTTACATTAATTTAAATATCAGCAAAATTGTTATCTCCAGCAGTTGTTTAAAGATAAAGTGGAATTAAAGCTGCTAAACTGAATATATTAAAGATGTTCATTAATTGTGTTTATCTTTTTTACTGTTAGTGACAGGTTTTTGTACAATGTCTGCTGACAGTAACACATTTGAAAGCGTAAAAGCTGCTGTCTTATCAGCTCATAAAAGCACCACATCAGAAGAGAAGATCAGCTTCTACAACCGGTGGGCAGAAAACTACGAACAGGTGAGAAAAGACACATTGAATGGGGTTATTTTCTTATTCTAGGTTTAATAACTATGACAAGCTAAATGCTAAAATTAAGATTAATGAACAGTCATTTAAACAAAAGTGGCAAGCTTTTTGGATTTCTGTTGATGTTAATCCTTTTATGTTTCCGTTAGTTGCTACATGTGGAGGAATACACTTAACCTACTACATTAAGTGTATTTCTTCAGTAACCCAAAGTTTCTTTTACATCTACTATAGATAAACTTGTATTAATTTGACATTTGGTGCGAAATTCCAATCTATATTGGTAAAATGACAAAAGTTTTCACTTTGCTTCACTTGTGAGCTTCACTTGAGGCCTCAATACCCGACTCGGCCGTTCATGGGTTCAAGTCCCGACTCGTTGACCTTTGCTGCATGTCTTCATCGTTTCTCACAACCGGCTTTCCTGTCACTTCACTATCACATAAAGACTCAAGTTGTCACATAAAGAAAAAAAGAAAATCAGCCAGATAAACACCAACATTTTTAAGTCATATCTGACACAGACTCTCAGAGTAATTTATTTAATATTTGGTGAGTAATTTGATTTTGTAGCATGGCATTTTAATAATTTCTGCAACGTTCCGAACCTTACGTCGCATAATTTGCTCAATCAAAACACCTTTTAACACCTACTGGGTTCAGTGTATTCCTTTAAAGTATTTTTTCTACATATTAAAACGGTGTTTTCTCGTAAATGTGGAAGTGGGAGACCAAAGAAAACTGCTTTCCTTTCAGTTTTTACCATCTTTTAAACAGGATGTGGCCGTTTTGGATTACCGTGCACCAAGTCTGGCAGCAGAGTGCATCTCGTCCCATTTCAGCAGCGCGCGAGAAGCAGCCCTTGTGCTGGATGTGGCGTGTGGTACCGGACTGGTGGCCAAACACGTGAGTAGTAGCTACACTAATGAGATAGACAGACAGAAAGAAACGAGGTATTAAGAAATCTACACATCAGTTTCGTTGAAGCACCTTTTTGGTTTAATTTTGGCGTTCAGTCGCCTCTCCAGAGTCCAGACCTGAATCTGGAGTAAATCAATGGGATCTCTTGAAGAGATATTCTTTCACTCTGCAAAGTTTTACTTTCACAAAAAATGTGGGCACAGTAGTTGCAGTATTTTGCTTTTATACAAAGCAAACCTGCAGGTATATTTGATATGGTTGTAATTGTTTCATCTGATCTTTATTGAACAGAGAAAATATAGACATATATTTTAAAAGATATATTTTTATACTAAAAATCTAAAAATATATTTTTTAATATTAAAAATATAGAAGTATATTTTAAAAAACTACATATGGTTAACTAAAATTTGACATTATTTTTAATAAAGATTGATGTCTTTAAACTAAGAGCTTTGTTTTCCTTTTTTAAGGACAGAGACACTATCATTGTCAGTAGTATGACTGACACAGAGATATTTGTTGAACAGATGAAAAAACTCGGGTTTGAACATTTTGTGGGTGTGGATGGAAGCGAGGTGATGCTGGGCAAGGCGAGACAGAGCGGCTTGTACCAGGACTTGAAGCAGTGCATGCTGGGAAAGGAGCCTCTCCCGGTACAAGGGGGTAATTAAACCAACATCCTGTCATCTCATTAGTCTCTGTGACCTTTATGGTGGTTTCTACTTTCACTGCTTGTGGCTTCTGTACATTTAAGTTGTGACTATTCTGACTTTTTAAAAACTGTTAAATGTTAAGCATGATGAGCTTCTCTTTACCTCCTGTAGGCAGATTTGATGTGGTTGTAATTGTTGGAGCATTAAGTGTTGGTAATGCCCCTATTAGTACCACCAGAGACTTGTGCAATGCCACCAAACCAGGTCAGAGTATCATTTTATTTATTAACTTTTTAAATTAATTTCTTCTGTCTTGTGGTAAATGTGTAATTTCTTCACTGCACTGTTTTATCCTTCCTCTAGGTGGCTTCATTTGCATGACAACCAGAAGTAACCAGGAGAACTCGGAGTACAAAGCTGCCCTTGACAGCGAGCTGAGGAAGATGGAGGAAGAGGAGCTCTGGACTTGTTTAGAGGTCACCAAGGTCAAAGACTGGGAGAGGGCTGTATCAGAGAAGGAGGACGGCTACATATCTGGAGTTGTATACCTCTATAAGAAACTGTAACACAATCATACCAGTAAATGTGACAACACTTGTCCAAGTGGGATATTTTTTAATTAAAATGAACTCACCACAAAGTCAAAAAGAAGTATTAAACTGAATTAAAACCTAATTGTTGCATTATTCATTATTGTTACACTATGACTCCTATATTATTTTACTTAAGAATCTCTTAAGACTTGAGTAAAATATAATTGTACTGTATATGTATTGTTAAATTGTACTTTTAAATTTTTGTAACATTTAAACATTTTAAATATTACATTTTTGAATATTCAAATAATATTAAAATATTTTTAAATATTTTTTAACATCAAAAACTATTCACATCCAACAACATGTACACAAGCTTGATCGACAGCGCTAGGATCCTCCTCCTCCTGGCTCTGATTGGGTGTTTCTGACTGTGCGGTTCACTTTTGCAGATTGCCATAGCAACACTGGGAGGTGGCAGATGAGCTTGATTTATTTCACGGATTACTTGTAAATATTAAGCTTTAATATCATTAAAGTAATGGGGGGTTTTGATGTATAAACAATCTGTGAAGCAAAACTTCTTTAAACTCCGGGAGAGACCAATGTGTTTCCCAACCACCAGGTGTCACTGTTTCATCACCTTTTTATAGAAATGTTTCTCCAGCGTGTCACTGTACAAACAGTGTTTGGCTAAATAACAAAGCCCTGACCTGTGACTACATCCAAGCTTCACCAAACACATAAAGCAGAATTTTTTTTAAAGAATTAAGTCAATAAATACAAATAAATAATGCAAAGATAAACTCTGGCTGTTTATGTTATGGTTTATTCAAAGTTTGCCTTTTGACAAACCATAACATAAACAGCCAGAGTTCCCGTGGTTATTTATGAATTTATCTCCATAACACAGTCACCACAACAAAATTTATTTGTGACATTCTGGACGACCGACATGCATTTTGTCTTTATAATGCTTTCATTTGAATCAACAAAACCCAAACATGATTCACTGAAACTCAATGAAGTTTCCTCTGCAAACATGCTTCTTCCTCCTTCAACACAGCTCTGTTGTGATCTCTGTCAAACCAGTTTGTCCAGAAGCTTCTGATTACCAAAGCAAGACTGGGAGTCCAGGTGATTACCCTGGCCAGTTTTTCCTTAATTCATGACTAGTAAGAAAACAATATACAATATATTCGTTCACATTTTGTCAATTTATTGAAACGTGAGATACATTTTCTGTTACATGTTTAAATAAAATAAAAATATAATCACAATTAGATGCTCTGATGAAAAGTATTTACAGAAACCTTTGTTGTGTAATAGGTAGAGCATTTATTTCCACACATTTAACTGTATAAAGTAATAACAAATAAGTAAAAATAATCAAACATAGTCATTCAAGTTGCTGTGTCTTTGTTAGATAAGGTAAAAAACAACAAACTCAAAAGCCTGAGATAAAATATTACATTCAAATTTATTCAGTGCATTAAAACACTAAAAACAGTTGATGCAGTGTAATATCTCACATTAGCATGGCAAGTTAAAACCAACAGTTCAAGTTGAATAAGCTCATTCATCACAAGTTGTACATACTTCACTTGTTTTACTTGTGACAATCAGTTCAAGCACATAAAATGTTAAATTTTAATTTTGTCTCCTTCATTTTGATAAAAGTCCTTCACATTAAACACAACAAATAATAATTATATTAAACATTATCATCTATAAAACATTGCAAACTAAATGTAAACTGAAGTATTCCTTCTTCTATTACAGGTAAGTTTTCGCTGGGTTTTCTGCTGCCTCTTCATTTTCACTGGCAGCTGATAAAGTTTCGTCCAGTTCAGCTTGTTTCAACTGGGACTTTGTTGATGGCGCGTCGCTGTGTTCGGACTTTCTCGACTCGGGCCTTTTCATCTGAGACTTTGTCGATGGAGCCCAGGATTTCTCTGAATCCTCTCCCATGTTCTGCTGGGATTCGACGTCATATCCCAGCCTTGAGAGCTGCTGAGGATTGGCGGTTGGCGCCACAAAGCTTTGGGGCCCAGGCGACTTGGGTTTGATGGGTTGAGCCAGCGCCTTCGGCACCCTGGTGAGACGGGAGCCAGCGCGGGTTGATCCTTTAGAGGATTGGACTACCACATAGCGAACTGAGGGCCTCTTGTCAGTGTCATGGGCTTTGCCTGGGCAGGAGGACTTCATGAACAGACCCCCTCCCAGGATGAGCAGAAACGCTGCCCCCCAGCCAATGTAGAGGCAAGCGCCGAGCTCCCTCTTCTGAGCGTCTATGGCTGCACTGTAGAAGTTCTTCACCACCGTCCCGGCCGCCCATGCTGTAGGGATCAAACACAGCAGCCCTGTGATCATCAGCACCACCCCTCCTGCTATGGCCACTTTCTCCTTCCTTCCTTCATTTCCTTCATCATCCAAGAAGCGGGTGCATTTTCCACCCACGAAGGCCAGGATGAGGCCAAAGCTGCCCGTAACGATGGCGAGGATCATGAGCGCCCTGGCGGTCTGCCTGTCGGCGCTGAGAGCCAGCTGGGACTCATAGGGCTTGCACATCCTCTGTCCTGTGCTTTGAACCACACAAGTCATCCAGATGCCCTCCCAGACAGTCTGAGAGGTCACAATGGAGCTGCCCACGAAGGCGGTCACACTCCACATAGGCAGCGCGCAGCTGGTGATGACCCCAGCCCAGCCCAGGAGGCACAGGGCACTGGCCACCAGCTGCATCCCCATCGAGGCCATGATGGGAAGATCTGTGAAGCTGCTGGAAAAATCCTCTTCAAGAAGAGCCTCTCTTGATCCCTGCGGTGCTTGTTTTGCCTTCAGTGTCGCGCTCTCTCGCTCTCTGATCAGTCTTCTCTGCTATCTTTGTCAGTCCTTAACATGTGCCGCCTCTTTCACATGCCTGCCCCTCTAACCATGAACTTATCTGGAGTGATCGACGCAGTTTCGGTTCCTCTGGTATCCTTTTTTGAAGTCCCAGGTGTGTCTTAGTTCAGCTGTACTTCATTTGTTTACAGGATATTTCCATCTCTTACTGTCCCTCCCCGTTTTGTGTCCTCCTCCTGCTCAACATGTCTCTCTACCTGAGCGAGCGCTGTCACCTGAGCAGCTGTCGCTGTGCTACTGGTCAGGTGTACATGTGCCACACCTGTCCTACTGGGGAAAGAAAGAGGAGGAGGGTGACAGAAAGAAGTTACACAATCCATCCCCACTCCTATTGTCTCGCTTGAATTAGGTTGCTTAGGTGAAACCAATATTCATTTACATGTAAATGAACGAAACAAAATAGAGAGATTGAGATTGAGGTCCAAGCATTGGCCTTGCTTTGGTGAAATGGCCTCAGGTTTTATTTATTGTGGTACACATTATATTTGTGCTGAATAACCAAAAGTTGTAAATTACCCATCAGGGATTCAGAGCAGCTGTGTTTCTCATTTTTTAGAAGAGCAGAAGTGAAATGCCAACTTCAGTTTGTTGGGCCAAAACCAACTTGACTGGAACAACATTGACTGAGGAGAAAAACCGGTTTAAAACATGCAAACACCTTTCCACCCTCACACATGTACACCCACACACACGCACACACACACCACAACGTAAAATTATATGTATTCCTTTTATCTTTGGGATGCTATCAGTGATAACTTCTATATTTATTTCTTTACTAATCTTGAGATGTAATTCATTTGCTTGTACATGGTTGTAAATTTCCTTTGTTTCTCTCGTATTTCCTCGTTTGGTGTTGCCATTGTCAACAGCTTCGACTGTTTTTCCTCAATCATGTCTGGAATGTTTCGGCTTAAATTTCCCGTGCTTTAAATAAACTGTAGCGACAGAAACTCGGTACTTTACAGAAGATCTTTATGAGTATTTGTAGAAAATCAAGCTGGATGTTGTGACAAGGAAAAGACAAATGATCTAATCGAATTAAACCTAAAAAATGAATTTACAGGCCATGTTTTTGTAACATCTCAAAAAGTATCTTTCAAACTTCAATTGGTATTAAAATAAAATAAAAATATTGAGAGAGTTTTTTGAAAATATAAATGATGATACAAAAGGTTTTGTTTTGCATGATGTTAAGTAACTGATTAACAATTGATAGCAGGTACAATAAGTATTGATCAGGTCAATGTTTATGTTAGTATGTATATTTTTCATATTTTTAATGAAATATGACTGTAAACAAAAATGTTTTGGTCTTGCTCAACACCTTGGTGGTGATGAAACTTGACTTTAATTTCTATCTGAAATTTAAGATTCTGGTGTTCAGTTTATTTTTTCCCCACTTTAGAGGTCGAGTAGTGCAATCTCTAATATTTCTATTGACATGAAATTTGCATCAGATCTTTGTAGCAATCCAAGTAATGCACACATGCAAAGAAATCAATACAATTTAGTCCATGAATGGGTTTATGTGCAATGAAGAGGAATGGTAGAGGATGTTCACAGAGAGCCAAGAAATCAGCTGAAATATGTAAGTATTTAGAAAGTGTTTGTGTTGCTATGTTCTTGTCTAATATTAACTGGCAGCCTATAGAGTATTTTTTTCTGTCAGACTTGAACCTTCAGAGACACATAAAGGTAATTTAAAAGTCAGCCTCCTAAACATTTCTACGATTAAAAGACTAAAGTCTCAGCAAGATCTTAAGAAATTCATCCATGTTTTTCTCTAATCAAATTTATCACTACCACAGCATCTTCACAGGTCTTCCAAAAACAATCAATCCTTCAGCTGCAGCTGATCCAGAAAGCTGCTGCTGGCATTCTGACTAAAACCAGGAGGACAGAGCGCGTCAGCCCAGGTCTGAAGTCCTTTCACTAGCTTCCTGTAGCTCAGACAATAGACTTTAAAATACTTTTTGTTAGTTTATAAATCACTGTAGTTCAGTTTTTATTCATATCCCAAGGGCGGATTGGTTTGCAACAATAACTGATGCCCTACTGCATTACTTTTAGTTTTTAATATGCAACTGATCCCTCGCGTCCCACTTGTTAATTAATAACATACATCTCCCAATAGCAAATAAAAGTTTAACTATAGAACACCATAACCAAGTAGAATAGGTGACATATTCCAAATGGCTTATTGTCCCTCACCCCTTTGTTCAGTTAAAATAATTAATTTAATTAATTATACATACCCATATTCACACATACAGCTCTGGAAAAGTGAAGAGCCCACTGCACTGAACCCCATTAAAAACTTCCTGGTTGTTCCACCAAATATCTGAACTCTTCCTGAGTTAAAACATTAGTATTGTTGTTTCTAAATTAATATGAACTTGTTTTCTTTGCATTATTTGAAGAAAGCGCTCCACCTTTTTCATTATTTTGACCGTTTCTCATTTTCTGCAAATAAATATAAAATTTCTGCTTGGAATTAGGAGACATGTTGTCAGTAGTCCATAGAATATAAGAGCAATGTTCATTTGACTCAAACATAAACCTAGAAAAAGTAAAATCAGAGAAAAATTATCATTTAATGGTCTCTTAATTTTTTTTTCCAGAGCTCTATATACATATACACACAAATAAAGCTTTAAAGTACATTGTGCTCCCGAAAATATAAAATATGTATTCAAAATCTAAAAAGAGGTCTTGGTATTGAAGTCTAAGGGAAACTAAGCTCCGCAATGAAAGAAACCCGACCATGCCGGGTTCTGATCTCAGGCATCCTGAAGCACAAAAAAGTAAAATCTTTACTTATATGAACCTTTCAGGTCGCTGCGGTCTTCTGGTCCAAGTCTACTTCCCGTCCTGAGTCAGAACCAAATATGCAGAAGAACAAACTTCCAGAAAACTGCAAAAATCATTAAATTTTTTAAATCAATGTTAGAAACCCCTCTGTTAACTAACTGAAATAACTCATTTTAGTTTGTAGTCCAACTCTTCTTTATTTCTTTTAATGGGGAGTTTTTACCACATAGAAAATGTGCTTAGAGGGAGCAAATTTTCCATTTAACAGGTTTTTACATATCTTCATAGAATATAATAGAGCAGAATCTCATTTGTTGTCCCACAATGAGGACCTTCAGGGTGTAACGTGCTGAGGCTTTCTGATTTGCATAGTCACCTTGGTCCAGTCATTCCTGCATAGCTGCTTTGCTGCTGGTGGTTTCTTTGGTTCCTTCAGTTCGCTGCTTGTGTTAGCTCCAGTTTGTTAAAGTATCTATCATTCATGCTTGTGTAGCTCCTTTTGTTCTTCCTAAATAACACACTTTGTTTGACCTTCGCTGGCCTGTGTCCAGTGTTTGAGCCCACTCTTCCCACAGCACTTATCAACTCTGTGTGGCCTTCCCGTTCTCGTTTTAACGCACCGCGCTTCCTTTGTTGTTTAATTATAATATGTGATAAATACCACTGTGGGCAGTAGATAGTAGGGAATGCAATGTCAAAAGTTTACTGTATTTTCAACTGAGATAGATAAAATCCATTGTTTTGGTGTAAAATTGGGGTTAAACATCTAACATAAATTATAAAACATCACATTGACAAATAGATATCTCCTCCTGCTTGTTTCATGCATTTTTTTTCTTTTATGTTGTATGTTTAAGCCCCAAATTATTCATAATCCTTTCAGACTTACTACTACTTCCATTCATACTTTGAGAAGTACATCAAAAAATAGTTTAATAAGCCAAAAAAACAAAATCAAAACTACGTATTGCACAAAAACATTCCAAATTATTTATTTTCTGTTAATTATTTGATTTTAAATATATTACATTTTTTGTTTTACAGTTATCCACAGGCCTATGAGACAATAAACTACGAGTGATGAGCTCTCCGCGGAAACAGCTTTGTCAGTCTTGTTTTTGTTTGGCCGAGTTTCTTCAGCAGAAAGCGAACATTGTCCCACAACCTGTTTGTTCAGATTCCACCCTTTTCATTACGAGCTGCATTTTTTTCCATCACTTTCTGCGTTACTGAAAACATCAGTGATATTTAGAAAAGAAGAAAGATAGTCATCACCACTGACTATAGTTTTAATTATGGATTATAAATGAAAAACAAGAAAAACAACAACAAAGAGTCACATAATTGTCAACGTTTACATATGATTATTAAATATCCAGATCAGATTTTGCATAAGTAGAGATCTTACACCTTGTCCAAATAAACAAAAAAACAGATGAGGATGCAGGAACAAAAAAGAACCAAAGTGAAACTGTTTTTTGGTCTGAAAGCATCTCTACGTATCTATATGTGTTTATAAATACAGTTAATTCACTTTTCACAATATAAATTATCCCTCTGAAGACGACAAACGACATTTCATTCATTCTTTCTGCCACAGTTTCATTCAGTTTCTTGGCTCATCTTCAACAGTCAAACATAAGACTTTTATCAAGTCTTATCTTGCCTCATCTTTACCCGACTCAGTTCTGGCTCTAAACGTATTGCTGCTTGTTGATGTCCACAGAGCGAGCCTTGGAGTACCGATAGTTGTAGTCGTTCTCTTCCTTGGGGGGACATGTGGCGCAGAGGAGTCCACCGCCGATGAAGAGCAGCGCCGCCGTGCCCCACCCAATATAGAGGGAGGCCCCCAACTCTCTCTTCTGAGACTCTAACATGGTTGGGTTGTAGAAATCCCGAATGATTGTGTTGGCGGTCCAGCAGACGGGGATGAGGACCAAGAGGCCCGCGATGATGAAGACGACACCTGCAGCGATAGCCACTCTGCTCTTTCGAACTTCGTCTGGTACGAAGTTGGTGCACTTGCCTCCAATCACACCCAGCAGGACTCCGACGACCGCAACGATGATGGCGATGATGATGAGCGCTCTGGCGGCCTGCAGGTCTTGAGGCAACACCAGAAGAGAATCATAGACCTTGCACTGCATCTGGCCTGTACTCTGAATCACGCAGTTCATCCACAAACCCTCCCACATGATCTGAGCGGTGATGATGTTGGAACCGATGAAGGCTGTGACTTTCCAGGTTGGGAGGCCGCAGATGATGATGGCCCCCAGTAAGCCGATAAAGGCCAGCACCATCCCCAGGATCTGCTTTCTGCCGGACCCCATGTTGAAGCTCTGTTGCTGTCTTTAGAAACGGAGAAGTCGTGCCTTCCTGAGAGTCGGAGTGCTTTGTTTGTTGCAAGATATGTGGGTAGTGGTTTAAGTTGCTCGTTTTAACGAGAGACAAGAGGTCATAGGAGGAGTTAGAGTTGGCTCTACGCTAAAACTGGTTTCTGAGGATTCTGACCAAACCGGATCTCTTTACAACATCATCAATGCGCTTAGAGTTTCGGAGATATAATGAAAGAAATTCACAGAACAAAAACAAAAATAAAGATAAACTAGGTGTTTCTGCCTGTTTTGCTGATTACATTCAATTCTGAAATCTTCAACAAACTGAAAAAATACAGTAACTACACAATTAAAACTAAACTAAACGGGATCAGGTCAATGCGGACACTACAGCGATCTGAGTTTCAGTATCAGCTCCTTATTAGGTCAGCTGAAACGTTGCTGACTGCCTTTTCATTAAAGAAATCAACATGTTTAATACCTCTAGTGAAAGGAGAGCTGTATACAGATACATAATACAAAAACAGTTACAAATCTTCTCTCTGACATAATGTTTCATAATTAATTGCATATCTAATCGATACTCTGTCTGATGCCATGGAGATATTTAAAGTTGCACGTCACAACTTCCGGCAGGATCTGTTATCTCTGTCTCTACATTCAGGTTACACACAACCACACAGATTTGGTTAGTGGCACTGTGCTTTGACCCTGTGCTCAATTTCAAGCCTCATTTGAAGGAGGTGACTAAGATTGCCTTTAGAATATTGGAATATTAGAATATCTTAGAATATCTTAGAATATCCTCAGAATATTGCAAAAATCAGACAAATTTTATCCTTTGGAAATGCTGAGATTTTTAGTCTCCTCACACGTTGATCTGTTTCCCTGGTTACCAAAAAAAGGTTTAGAGACGGTTCTGAATGCAGCTGCTTGTGTTCTGACTAAAACCAGGTAATATGCATAACATGCTGTGGGCCCTTAATTTGCTGCCTTGTCAGGCTCAATCAGGCTTTAAGATCTTGTTGCTCACCTTCAAGGCTTTAAAAGGACTGGCATCTCTTCCATCTCTGACATTTTCCACTTTTATGTCCCTCCTGGTATCTCAGATCTCACGGCACTTTTTAAAACTCCCTAAAGCGGAGCAGCCTTCCTCAAGACTTCAGGCCGGCAAGCTCTGTGGATGTTTTAAGACTAAATTAAAGACCCAAATTGGAAGCTTTTAGCAGTAGTTCTAAAATAGTTTCACTTCGGTCCGCATGGTTTCACGTGCGTTCTTCCTGGTCTGTAGGGTTTTTTTTTTATTTTGATTTCTCTAATGGATGCCATTTTCTTGTTGAATCAGAAATGCTTTAGATGGGGTTCTGGATCATTTGTGATCTCCTGAATGAGTTATCTCGGCCCTCTTGAAGTCATTTTGACAGTTGATCCCCTCCTGGGAAGATTCACCGTTGTTCTTGGTTTTCTTTGTTGATAATAGGTCTGTATCACAACTCTTTTCTCTCTGCAACATCTTTGTTATTTATTCTTTAATTTCCTTTGAATGGGGAACAATGTGTTCCTCTTTGAGATATTTTAGCCTACTTCATGTTGCCAAGCAGGTTCCATTTAAATGGTTTTTTCTCAACATGTCTGGCAAAAATTAGAAACTGAAAAATGAGGCTTAAAAATAAAAAATTGGGGGGAATTACTTTTCACATAGGGGCAGGGTTAGTTGGACAGCTTTTTCACTTAATAAAATAAATCATCTTTTAGGAACTGCTTCTTACACAATTTATCTTTGTCTAATAATGAAAAATGTATTTAAATCACAAGAAATATCAAAAACAAGGCTTTAATATGGAAAAAACTGATATAGACATAAGAATAATAAAGAATTTCAACCAAAATTCAACAAAATATTACATTTTGTCATCACAACACAACAAGTTTCAAAACACATGTAATCATTGTTTCACGTGTGCTTCATTCCTTTGGGTCAATTAAATTCTCATGTTTCACTTCCTGCTCACCAGCATTTTCTCCAAAAATGGTCAACAGGAACATTTCAGCAGGACAACAAAATGGCAGCTAAATGTCACACCCACGTCTTCAAAGCAGCAAGTCACCAACTATCGATGATGTCATCCAGTAGTTGGTGACATCGCTACTGCTGATTAACATGATTACAATCTGTTCCAGTTAACGTTTCTGATGTGGTTTCTGACAGCTTAAGTCACCTTTGTAAACTTAGTTTAATTAATATTGTGTAATCAATATTAGGGAGGGTAGCGTTTCCTGACCATACTTCAAACCAGACCCTGAAACAACCACTTCTCGCCTACGATTGAGTTTGAATATTTACGTATCCGTTGGTTTCAAGAAACTCCAATTTTACTGTTAAGAGAAAAATCACTGAGTTCAGAAAAATCTAAAAAGATCTGCAAGTTGTTCAACCTCAAAGCTGCCATTCCCTCTTTCACAGAACATTTCAGAAACCACAGGATGGACATTCTTGATCATGGGTGTCCAAAGTGTGGCCTGGGGTCTTTTTGAGGCCCTCATAATGATTTTGTGAGGCCCTTCACCACAATTCAAGAATGGTACCAAATCACGCTGTCTCTCTAAATTGATCTGAGGTGTGTTCGTGTTCCAATGTTTTTCTTTGGCGTTTTTGTTACGCCAAAAATTCAGAAATCAGAATCTGCTTAAAACATCACAAAAATTCAGCCAGGATCGACGCAACTTGTGTCTAAAATTAAACTGTGTATTATTTTATATTGTCAAAATTTGTACAAAAATTATTGTCTGTGTACTTAAAAGGAAGAACAAAGTGCAAGACTTGTGCTGAAAATAGACAAGTACCAAAAATGTATTCATAACATACAAAACATAATGCTATGTTTTTGCTACATAATGCTATGTAGCATAAAACATAATGCTACATTCATTTGTAAAGCATGTAAAGTTTTTGTAATTCCAAAAATGCTAAACTGTCACATTAAGTGTTCACAGTTAAAAGAAGACAGCTATTTAAACCAATGCAACTTCAGTAAATGCATAAAAAGAAGAACAAATACTAATTTCAGCATTCAGAAAACTATGATTATCAAATTCTTCAAAATAAAATTCAGATATGTGGAGCTTATAATATTTCATTGCATGTTTTCCCTTCATGTCCTGAATTTGTGCAGTTACTTGAAGCATAATTTTTAAACCATTATCATTTTAGTGCAACTATGATTTGAAATAAATGACAAAAATGTAGCTTCAGTTAGAGACGCTATTTTACACGTAAACCTTCATCATATTCACGACGGATGGCGCAGTGCAGGTCATTCTTCTTCTTCTTCTTCTTCAGCATCTGTAGCTTCCTGTCAGGATCCCTCCTCCGATGACGAGCAGCGCTCCAGAAGCCCAGCCGATGTAGATGGAGGCTCCCAGCTCCCCTCTCCTCTCCCCCGTCGCCACTGGGCTGTTAAATCCCGTGATGATGATGTGAGCCGACCAGCTGACGGGAATGATGCACAGCAAGCCTGCGATGATAAACGCCACTCCTCCGCCAACGCCAATGTTGGATTTCATCAACCTGTCGTAGCGGCAGAAGTTGGTGCACCGAACCCCAACGATGCTGAGCCCGATGGCCACAACGCTGACGCCAAGGGAGGCGCAGACGAGGGCCCGAGAGCCCTGCAGATCCTGAGGCAAGGCGAGGATGGAGTCATAGGCCTTGCACTGCAGGTGGCCTGTGCTCTGGATCACGCAGTTCATCCACAGACCTTCCCAAAACACCTGCGCGGTGACGATGTTGACTCCAACGAATGCCGTCACCTTCCACATGGGCAGAGCGCAGATGAGAATCGTTCCCATGAAGCCGATGATTGCCAAGCAAAAACCAACCAGCTGAGTCCCCATTGTGTCGAGGCGAATGTTTCCCACAAAGTAAACAAGAAAAGTGGAAAAACTCAACCTCGTGTTGACATAAAACCCGTTTTTGCAGCAGGTTTTAACATGGTTATGTACGCGGTCGGTTGTGCGTTTCAGTCTGTTTTTTGCAGCGTAGCAGGTATGAAAGCAGCAGCTGGGAGGGGACTGGATGGTTAAGGTAACAAAAACAGGTTTCCTGCTTGTCTTGATTCCTGCTCGACCTGAATAGTTCTGGGAAGAAAACTCTTTACAAAAGTAGCACAAGAGCTTAGAGATCACAAACAAAAAAGGTTGCATTTACAAACTCTAAATGCTCTGGGACACAACCATCACATTAACCATCATTCATCAAAAAGGAAAAGAAATGTAATATATTTATATAGTATAAATATTAAAGGTGTTCTTTTTTTTGTTTTTTTTGGTTTGTTTTTTTACAAGTTGCTCTTCTTAAATGGTTCTGATTAAAAGTTGGGCTGAAAGTTCTGGCAACTTGGGAGCCAAGATTTGGTGTCCAAAGTGAGGCCCATGGGCCATTTACGGCCCTCTGAAGGATTTTGTGCGGCCCGCCACCAACCTTACTTCTAGTATGGAGTAAATCTTGAACATAAGTGCAGGTGGCTGGTGTTGATGTAAACTTTTCCATCTTGTATGGAATTACTTTCTACAGATAAATAACATCCCGTTTAAAAAGAAACAAAATATAGATTTCTAATCATTAACAACAACATTTCTGCATTTGTCTTTGCTTGGGAGAAACTAGAACCACAAATATCAACCTATATTTACTCAAATGTAAATTATGTTAAATAAGAAAACAATAAATACAAAAAAGTTAGAAACTGTCTGATAATGTGATTGCACAAAACCTTTTAATGTTTTCATCTACAATGATTCATAAATCCACTTTCTACAAAAATCTGACTATTTTGTTGATTTAATTATAATTCTATTTTTTAGTTAATTAATGAGCATATAAAATTTGAAAAAAAGGTTAAAGGTTTTAATGGGGCAGCATTTGGAAAGTTAAAAAGTCCTCCTACTGTATTTTGCTGAACTGCGAGATCCTGTGATAATACTAACGTCAACTCTCATCATTCCTCGAATCAATGCAAAGCATCATCATACCCGGAACATGTCTGTCAATTCCAACAAAATCTCAGGCTTTGGTTGTCCTGTGCAAATAACACATAAAAACCTGAAATTGGGGAGTTATTTATTACAGCTAATGCTTATCCTGTGTTAATATGTTTTTTTGCAACAGGAATGAGATATTTTCAAACAACTCCCACAATGTTTAGATCATTAAACTGGAAATTAAGCCCTTTTAGCACAGGATTTAGTTAGTGATCAGGGAATGGGGAAGAAGAGGAATGAAGGGAACTTTTTACTTGGTTTGAAGAGTTTATTCCCAGAGTTTGGATTTAAACTTTCTCTGATTCTCTGTGCCACTTCATGTTTTCTCCTGATTGAGCTGAACAAAATTCTCTGCCAGTCAAAACCTCGGGTGTCTTAGGATTGTGTACCCACAATTTTATCTTTTGAGTGAAAAAACTGAGGTTGGCAATAGGCAGAACAAGTCATTTCAGGTCAGAACAGTTTATATTTTACAAGAAATTCAAGAGCAGAGTTCCAGGAAAGACCTTCCCACTGCAGCATACGAGTAATCATAGCCAATCACAACATAGTTTTGTGATGGCACACAAAAAGAAAGTTCTGCTCAACAAATGAAAACCGATCTTAAAATGCAACATAATTATAACTTTTTATCCCCCTTGCTGCCAGAGAGAATAGACGTCTCTGTTCATGAAGTACATTCTGCCTTTCATTTGTTTCCTCAAAAACTGGTGAAGTGAGCTTTACCTACTTAGAAGTTTTGACAAATGTTGGATGGATTTAACCAGTTGGTCAAAAAGCAAAATACAAAGATTGGGACATTTTCTGTCTGTGGTAGATACATGTGTTTAGCGCTATATCAAGCTGTGTTTTGGATTACAATTTAGCAAGTCTGGGCTGCTAAATATCCAATTGAATTGGGTGGTTTTGTAACTGTCAAACTTTGAGTAAATAATCCTCAGCTAATGAAGCAAAGCACAGCAATTAGCCTCGGCTCATAAGGAAACACCAATAGCGCTTTGAATCACCAGCATACAGCTGTGTGGAAAATATATTTCCTGATGACAAACTTGGTTTTGTAATATTTCCATTGAGGAAACTGGGTATAAATCTCCCAGACATTTCCATTGCAGAAAACCAGACCTAGCGAGTTAAAGGGTTCTGAGGAAATGCAGAGGAACCCTGAATCAAAGCGTGGGACAAAACTTTCCTGGCTGAATGTTCAGTCTAATAGAGCTTTAAATTATAGTTCTGAATATTTTAGTCAAACAATGTACACTTTACTTTTGCTTCTCGGCATCCAGTTTGGATTTAACCAAAACTGAGGTTTCTCTAATATTTTGGTTTCGCCACAACAGGAGCTGCACAGGGTGGCATAAGCAGACAAGCTTTAAGTTATGCTCATTAGCGTGGTGCTAGTGAGTGTTCAAGCGACGCTAGCAGAATGCTTCAAGGTTAAACTCCAGCTAATTTACGTTTGAAGAGTTTGTGTACTTTGTCAATTTTAACCGACTCTTGCTCCCATTGTAGACTGCTGCAAGCTTCCACTTTCAGAGTTATAGGTTGCAACATCCCAAACAAGATCTAGACAAAGACTTAATTAAAAAAAAAGAGGTTTTATTAAAAATCAGCAAGTTTAAGATTAAAACCCTGGCTTGGCGTTCAGTCCAGATTTTCAGGAAAACAGTCTGAGCAGTTTAAACGTAGGCTGCTGTGCTGGCAGCCAAGCGTGGGGCCGAATATTTAACAGAGTAGCGGCCATCTTTCTGCTGCTGGCGCTGACAGAGGAAAGCCCCGCCGATGATCATGAGGCTTGCTGATCCCCAGCCAATGAACAGTGCCGCACCAAGCTCACTCTTCTGGGCATCAGGCAGGTCGGGGTTGTAGAAGGTCTTGATTATCTCGTTGGCAGACCAGGACACTGGGATCAGACACAGGATACCTCCAACAATGAAGAACACACCTGCAGCAATGGCTACCTGGCTCTTAGCAAGGTCATCTTCAATGCAGTTGGTGCATTCTCCCCCTGTGACGGCTAGCAGGAGTCCCAGGAACGCGACGATGATCGAGATCACAACCAGAGCGCGGGCTGCTTGGAGTTCTTGAGGCAGAGCCAGCATGGAGGCGTAGAACTTGCACTGCATCTGCCCGGTGCTCTGCACCACACAGTTCATCCACAGGCCCTCCCAGAAGGTCTGCGCTGTCATGATGCTGTTCCCAACAAAAGCAGACACCTTCCACATCGGCAGGGCACAAATGATGATGTCACCAGTAAAGCCAATGGTTGTAAGGAAGATGCCAAAAATCTGGAAGCATGCAGATGCCATCTTTGCTTCAGTTGCACCAAAGGTTGAAAGTCTCTTCAGCAGCAATGGATAATACAACCAATCCTCACCTGCAGCTTTAAGTATCCAAGAGGAAGCAGGAGAGGAGAATCTGACTGGCTGCCAAGAAATGATCAGACTGACAACACCTGGGAATCAATCAAGCTGAGTGGTTCCACCTGAGCTCAATAGATGCTGGAGGCTGCTTGCTTTTACTCTACTGACTTGGATCTGGTTTCATCTACAGATAAAAGGGGATTAAAGTGAGATCAGGATTTATTGCTGCATTTAATGATTTTTAATCTGTTTAAAAATATTTTTGTTCAAGATACACATGTAATAGAAATGGAAAAGTGCTTATTTTTATGCATTTAAAATACATTAATATGGTTCTATTAAACTGTGCATATGTCAAATAGATAAGAGCACAAACAAAAGTAGGCATTTATTTATTTATTTTTTTAGTTTTAGTCCATTTAAAGTGGGGAGAATTATTCTTATTCATAAAATACAGGCTAAATTTGAATTGAAGTCATGTAGTTTCATATAAACTAAATAAAAACTAGCAAACAAATGGAATATAATGGGTTTATGTGGAATTAATAATGTAGAATATCATCAAATGATTATTTCAGTAATTCAGTTTAAAAGATCAGATTTAATAGATTTGATTGGATGATTATGGGTTAATAATGTTTTGGTCCTGTACTGATTCATCTGTGTTTGGTGACACTTGAATACTGTCAGTTAGTTTTCAGTGGAAATAATTTGCATCAAAAAGCTGCAAGTTAACTGTCAAGTTCACAGTTAGCAAATTGTAGGACTAAATTTAAAACCTTTTGATTTGAAATTTGATCAGAGTGACATATGTGTTACAAACAATCTTGGTTGTATTTGTAGAAACATGACTGAGTGAGTGCTCTTTGCAGCAAACCATCTTTGACATATATTTCTCCTGGAACCATCAAGAATTTGGGTAATTAGGACAAAAACAGCTCATGATGAACACTGTGCATGTACGTTACACTCTCTACTTTGGAAAACTTTTGTCCTTTTACAAAAATCAACTCATAGCTCTTCAGATAAGAAAAGTAAGTGTATGTGGAGACTTTTCTTTGTTTTCCTGGCTGTCCAGCTGCTCATAATCATGTGTTGTGAGGATAGAACACTCCCCTAAAATCTTTACAATCCTCTCGAGAATGGAGGCATCTCTTTTCAACCAGACTTTTTTTCTTCTTTCTTCTAAACTTTCCATTATTATGCAAAGTACAGCGTTTTACTGAGGCCATAACTTTCATATTAAAAGTATTTTTCGATTGGTTTTCTTAAATATTAAAATGCTCTGAGGAGCTAAATGGAGTCCATTAATTTAGTTAGAACAGAATTGTAAACATGTTAAGATTTTATCGATTTATTTTATAAAGTTGGCATTTAACCTCCATTTTAGACATTTTCTTTAAGAATTTGCTGCTGTACTTCTTAAAATAGCTTATAGGTAATAATCAGATTTTTTTTAAATGGTCTTTTCATGTTTGTCCTTCACACTCAGGCTGTGATTTCTTTTTGTTCTCCAATCTCTTTTCTGGGGGTACTGAAGGGCCTCTTTATGTGAGGGGAACGCCTCTTGGCTCAAAGCATGATAGATGTTTATATGTGAACACTGGTGCAGCCAGCCCACCCCGACTGACTTGCATAAAACTTCTTGGCAGCAGACAAACTTTCAGTTGGTGGCCAGGCGCAGAGGAAGACGCAGAAACCTGACAGAAACAGCGATGGCGTCTTTAGGGTTGCAGATTCTCGGGGTTGCTCTGGCCGTGATTGGATGGTTGGGGAACATCCTGATCTGCGCGCTGCCACTGTGGAGAGTCTCTGCCTTCATTGGCAACAACATTGTGGTGGCCCAGAGCATCTGGGAAGGCCTGTGGATGAGCTGCGTGGTGCAGAGCACAGGCCAGATGCAGTGCAAAGTCTACGACTCCCTCCTGGCTCTGCCTCCAGACCTCCAGGCGGCTCGGGCCATGATCGTCATCTCCATCCTCTTCTCTTTCTTCGGCCTGCTGCTGTCTGTGGTTGGTGGGAAATGCACCACCTGCATCGAGGATGAAACAGCCAAAGCTCGAGTGTGCATCTCTGCTGGTATTTTCTTCCTCCTGAGCGGAGCGCTGTGCCTTGTGACCGTCTCTCTGCCGGCCAACGCCATCATCAAGGACTTTTACAACCCGCTGATTCCTGACGCTCAGAGGAGGGAGCTGGGCGCCTGCCTGTATGTGGGCTGGGGGGCAGCGGGACTTTTACTGATCGGTGGGGCGCTGCTGTGCTGTCAGTGCCCGTCAGGAAGAGAGCACTACAACGGAGTAAAGTACACTGCGCCCAAATCCACAACGCCAGGGAAGGAGTTTGTCTGAGCTGCTGAGCAACAGAGACGAACTCGCCAAAAGACAGAACAAACTTTTTCTCAGAGGGGATTCTGACTAATATCAACAACTAAAACAAACTGACTTTCTGCTTGAGAAAGATTGATAGATTAACTCATTAAACGTTAGAATTATGCAATTATTTCCTTACTTATTGATTGTGATGATCAGTAATATTTTCTAACAGGCACTTGTTTTTGTTTTTATTATCTAAGATGCATTTTTCAATGCTATATTTTATTAAAATAAATACATTTCATGTCAAAAATGTGGCATGTGCTTTTTTTATTCACAAGTGAAATAGGTTTTTGGAGTACCAACTATACTACCTGCAATCAGGAGGTTTATCTGCCACTAAATTCAAATTAGGGAAAATGTTCTTACATCTGGATGTTAATTAAATTATTAGAGGAGGGGTTTTCAAACTGAGGTTCGTGGGCCAGTTGAAGCTGGTCAGGAATTGTACATATTTCTCCAGCAGCACAAGTGGTTGATGAAAACACTTTGTAAACTATTTCTGGTGAGGTTTTCTCTGAAAAATGTTAATAAAAAATCAAGACCAAATGTGTACCAAGAAAACTGTTGGGTAAAATAAGTTACCTACGTTAGGTATTTGGGTTTTACCTGCTTACCTGGTTTTAATAACATCATTTGATTTAGTTTTTATTTTTATTCTTTACGTTGTGACTCTTATATTGGGTTTGTGAATAAAAGCAATGTCTGATTGTAAACAGAAACTTTTAAGTCCTTCATCTCTTATCAAGTAGTTAATCAGCGAAGCTTAGCAACAGGTGGGGGAGGGGGAGTCTCTATGCTCTAAACAGCCAGAGGAAGCTCCTCCAGTCACTTGGCACAGAAACACTGTCCCAGAAAATGGGTTTGAGTCTGTAACCGTTTAAATTCTTGGTAAACTGCACATTTTAACAGATGTTAAAGTGACACTTAAAGAAAATAAAAACATTTTTGTGGAAATTTTATTTTTGCAAAGCTGCTTTTTTTTAATGAAAGTAAAATACAAAGGAAATTACAACTATACAAGTGCATTTTCTAAGAAAACAGTAATTAGTCAAAGTTGAGGGCTTATATTCATTTACTTTTCTTTTTTTGTGTTTAAAGGTTTGAATCTGAAGCACTGAAGACAATTTTTAAAAGTCTGTCCTCCTTAGAAGGCTCGAAAGACGTCCTTTCACCCAGAGAAGTGAAAATATCCATTCTTTGAACAACTAAGATGGTTTCTCAGCAACATGGATCCAAGCACACGCAGCCCTCTGTTGTCTCTGCCGGTGACATCCATTTTACTCAAGACAGAAAAGCTAAATCACTGTCTCAACACAGCAGTTTCCCATTACAACATGGCAAACAGCTCATCCAGTTACAGTAAATCCCCAGCTGGATTCCTCCGCGTTTCATCACAACCAGAACAATTTCAGTTTTATTTACAGGGCAGATGAAGGATAACAAACATTCATTTGAAAGATATAGGAAAACCTTATAATTATCTTTGTATTACGCAGCTCATTTCATAACCTTTGTAAAATATCATAATTGTCTAGAAAAAGTAAAGTTACAGCAATAGTGCATATCAGAAATGCACTGATCACAGTTTTCTGGGCCAATATTCATGGTTTTCTCTGAGAATTTCAACATCTTTATTTTTACCTACTACAGACACATTAAATAAATCCAATGTGCATCAAATTATTTTATAGTAGTGGTTTCTAAACTCAAAGGAAAACAAAGAAATTTCAGATTTTTCTTTTTAGTTTTTAGACCCAAATGGAGCATCATAGTACCAGCTGATTTTGATGCATTTATAGCTCAAAAAAGGAAATTTCTCTTTTTTTGTTGCTCTTGTGTTTTATGAATGGAAAAAAAAATCAGGTTTTGACCAATCAGGGGAAATTAGCTGATTCCTATGTAAAGCTTACTGGTTGAAGAAACTACCACATTGCTCAGCTGGTGATTATTTGATGATTTATTATAAGAAATCTTTAAAAGTTTATTCACTCTAGAAGTCTTGCTAAGATCTTTTTAAAACCTCAAAATTCATTAAAAGGTCTACACAACTACAAGTAAGGAACTAGGTTAAATGTATTTTTAGCTATGTAATTAAAGATCTCTGCAGACAGGGGACTCACACATAGTCCATATTTGATGAGACGGTTCTTGCCGGGCCAAACTTTGCAGGTATGTAGGGTCTGTTGTCCTTTGGGGGGCAGTTGTTGCAGAGCAGACCGCCTCCCAGAAGCAGCAGGGCTGCGGAGCCCCAACCGATGTACAGCGCAGCGCCAAGCTCCCGTCTTTGTGCCGCCGTCACCAAGGGGTTGTAGAAATCCCTGATGACGGTGTGAGCTGACCAGGACACCGGGGTCATGATCAGCAAGGCGGTTATTATGAAGATCACTCCAGAGACGATGCAGGCTTTGGCTTTGGACGCCTCGTTGTCCATGCAGTTGGTGCACTTCCCTCCAACGATGGCCATGAGGATGCCAAACACGCCGACGATCACAGAGATGATCACCATGGCCCTGGCGGCCTGCAGGTCCTGAGACAGCGCCAGCATGGAGTCGTACACCTTGCACTGCATCTGCCCCGTGCTCTGGACCACGCAGCTCATCCACAGGCCTTCCCAGATCACCTGCGCGGTGACGATGTTCGCCCCAACAAAAGCGGTGACCCTCCACATGGGCAGAGCGCAGGTGATGATGGTGCCCAGCCATCCAATGAAGGACAGGAGGATACCAAGGATCTGAAGCCCCTGAGAAGCCATGATGAGCCCACAGGTGTTGACTGGTAGAAACGAGGATGATCACGTCTTAAATATAATAAAGTCCTTTCTTCATGCTCCGCTGTCAGACCTGTTAATGCACACGGTTCCTCAACTCTGAATCTTCGAAAGTTTCGGTTGTGGGACAATAAAGAGCCCTAGTTGTGGTTCAGACTTCAGGGTGGAGTTTCTGTCCCACTGGACAGAAACAACAATGAAAACTGAAACCTGATACCTTCAAACTCTTGTTCATTGTTCTCTCACATACAACCTTCTGTTATTTGAAGCAAGGCTTCAAGATTGCGACAATGGCTGCAGGTTGCAGCTGTGTTTGTCCATGCACCCTCCCACACACATATAGGTCAGCTTTGGCCTCAAGCAAATACAAACTGCAGCAGGTTTAGCTAAAAACAGGTAGATTCTTTAAAAAAGAAGGAAGGGTGGAAGGAAATTAAACTTTACGCTGTAAGTCTTAGAGTTTTATTAAATCTTGTTTTAACAAGGAGAGTTATGTCCCAAACCAACATTCCCCAGAGATCTGCCTTCTTGGTGTCGAAACCACATCCTCCTCCCATTTTCTCAAGTTGACCATCACATCACACCAAATGGAGCAAGTTACACCACACTGTTAATATATAGCTGCTCTATTTTACCTTGTGATTAACTGCATAGAAGAAAATACAGAGTCTTAAGTAACATTGTCCGGTTACGATGAGGCAGGAACATTTCAGAACTAAACCCAGATTGTTTATAGAGTTAGGGGAAATACTAAAATGAACGGATGTCGATACAAGGTCCTAATATGGGTAGAAATGCAAACTTGTGTTTGTGTTTTCTTGTAGATACAATTTTCACCAACAAAGGAGGAACAGTTTCCTGGACCTCACTTTTTTCAAATGTTCTGAGCTCTACTAGTTAGGTTTAGAAGTGTGGTGTAAATTGCGTTTTGGTTAAAGTTTAGCTTAAGTATATATTTGGAAGGATTATGGAAAATGTCTGAGTTAGTCTTAAATGCAGTAACTGAATTGAATGGAAGTCAATAAGGTCCTCAGACCAACAGAAGGACGCCTGTGTGAGTGAATCTTGTCTTACTGCACCTGGCTTTCTGGACAAAGTTGTAATAATTGTTGCAATGTGCAGGTGCAGATGCCTCACAGCTGACACCTGCACATTTCTAGGTTGGCATGGTAACCATTTCAGTTCAACTTAGGTTTTTTTATGGCCGAAATTTCCAATTATAGTTTTTTTTAAAAAGTTACATAATAAAAGATTGATTTTATTAGGTAATTTTACCATACAATGCTGTATTACACTTTCACAGTCGCCAATCATTTTTCCCAATTTAATATTAATATTTAATATTTGTTCACAGAATAATCTGAGACTGAATTTTATATGCCTGAGCAAACCTATGCTACATAGAAAAAAGGTGTTAGCAAAAATATTAATAAATAATTGTGCGATAAATGGGAATGTAGTTGTGATTCAAGCATTTTTCTGATTATCTCAGTGAGTATTTTATAAAATAGCCATGCGCAGGTACAAAACAGTTTAATGTTGTTTTAGTGTAGCCAGGTTGTTGTGTCTTTCTGCCCGGGTCCATCATGAAACAAGGTCTAGATCTCGATGGGGTTTTACCTGGTTAAGTAAAAGGGAAACCTATGCGGTTAAGAATCGTACCTGTGTGGTCGGCAACATGCTCCAATATTAGTAAATGTAAGCACACATGTTGTTACATCAGAAGATTTCTGAAATTTATACTATGGTAAATTCATTTAACTGGTTGAATTGAAATGTGTTTTTTGCGATGGACTGGCGACCTGTCCAGGGTGTGCCTTACCACTTGCCTGATGACCTGTTGATAGTCACCAATAAGTAATTAATCATAAGTAGAGCTTTACAGCTGTAATGCCAATGAAGACTTTCCCACTGATTATTATTGGCAGTCTAAATAATTTTTGTCATGGGAGTTTTTAAAAAACATAAATTAACACAATTAGACAATGTTTTTTTTTTGTTTTTTTTTACATGTTTTGCTGTCATGCCTTATTTACTGTCAGAAAAGCTCCTTAGATTAATTAAAATCATTATTAAATCTGTAATAAAATTAGTCATTTAGGCCTTAATAGCAACTGAGCTTTACTTAAATCCGATTGTTATTTGAAACTGAATTCAAATGTAACAGCGGAAATGCTTTTTAATATGGCTTTGAGATTTTTTATTTCATTTTCTACTAACTCAAATGACTGATAAATGTCATTTTCAATGACATCAGATAATTGTGTGAAAACTGTACTGTAACACTATATGCTTACAAAAACTTTGAATATGCAAATCATCTCTTTAAGTGTAGGATTGCATGATGTAGAAAGTAATAAAACTAGTTTGGTGAACACAAACATTTTGTTAATGAACAGAAACATTTGCTGTTTGTTTTAATTTAGTTTTTAAGTCTATGAATCTATTTTAAAAGTTTAAATTCCTTTGTTCGGAGGCTAAGAGTTGAGCAAAGCCAGTTGGTTGTCGTCTTACTTGATTTTCCAGCCGCACCTAAACCTGATCAACAGGAAAATCAAACAATAGACTCCTCTTCAATGCTGTGAGGGCATTTATTTTCAGATTGAAGTTTGTTTTGATTAAAACTTTGCCGTAAGCAAATAAATGTGTTATAATATACATTAATATCACAATTTACAGTGATTTTTTTAAGAAATGTCTATTTCCAGTGAAAGAGTGATTTTCGAGAAGTGAAAAATTGAAGAAAACATCACGGACTAGCACATAAGTAAACAAAAACATCTTTATTTACAGAACATCTGTCGCATAACACATCACAATAGGCAGATAAGAAACATTCCACATTGATGACCAAAACAAACTTTACAAAGTTAAAAAGTAGTCAAAAACACACAGCTGTGTAAATAGGCCAATAAAGAAACACCTAATAATGTTGACACAATATTCAT